ATGCTTTCTGGATCATTCAAGAATGTGTCCATAGAATCTCTTAGTATTTAAATTCAAAGCTTGAATTTTTTTAGTTCTTTCAGCTTGAGAAATGCCAAGCAAGTTCTTCCGTTTTTGTTCTGATTCCAGCTCTTTGCATATCTCTTTATAATATTTTGCTTTATTTTCTCAAGCTGCCCTTTAAAATCTTCTGTTCAGATCTCTTCTGCATCTGTTGCTTTTATTTTACCTTCTCGGCACTCTTCATGTCATTTTCACAGTCTCTTCTGACATTCATTTTGGTTTCTTCCTTCATCTTCTTTATAACAACCTTCTGTGCTCTTCATGGATGATAATCTTTGATGATTGCCCATAGTTCATCTGGTCTTTGATCTTTGATATTCAAAGCCTCAAACCTGTTCTTGAGATTATTTTTTTCTTAAAAATACAACTTTCCATTTTTATTATCATTATTATAAATTTTGAAGAATGTTTACAGAGACTGGATTTCCATTCATTCATTGTTGCATTTTTCTCCCAGCCTACCCCTACCCCCTAGTTCACTCTTTTCTTTGAAAAGTAAAAGAAAAATTCTTTCATTGGTATACAATCACCTGCCTCAAGTCCATGTCACTATGCAGCCTTCATTCTGGATTCTTATCATGACCATAATGATGTATCACTTTTAAACATACAAATTATCAACCAAAATTAATCTATAAATTATATTATTTTTTTAAAAATTATATTCTTTAGTCTTCAACAACCTTATGCAATTTTAGAACAATTTAAAACTCAGATGACTGAAATTTCACCTGCTTTTTATTTTTTTTTAAAAAAGAAATGTCTTTCGTGTCACTAGAAAACAAAAAGTGTATCAATTTATTTCATTGAACCAGATTATATAACTATTATGAATACACAATAAGGATCAGATTTTGGAACTACCATACATATTCACCAAGTCAAAAGAATTAAACACTTCTTTTTCTTGCCTTTTCATCGTTGATGGTTTTCAGTACTTTGCATCTGTACCAACATTTATCTTCAGTAAACAACCCACCATAAATCTTCAAAAGAAAGAGAAAGCAAAATATAAGTCATTTTAATGACATAAAGTTAATTAGTTCAAAATGTTTACCACTAATTATGCCAACATTCATTTGATACACAGTAACTTAACGAATTACCACTAAAATGCCACAAAACAGTTATTTTTACCATTATATGCACAAAATCAAAAACAAGGAAATAGCAGAACCACTTCTTAAATAAAGGCCTCTGAAAACCCTATGAATTAGAGGAACACGGACAGATAAGAGTATTAGAGACAGAGCCCAGATTGGAAGTCAATCAAAGTGAGGGAAAATAATGGCAAATATCTTTAATAATTAGAACACGAAATGTTAAGAAGCATGAATGTTGGAAAACTAGAAATTGTGAAAAAATAAATGGAACGCATGAACATCAACATTCTAGTGAGATGAAATGTACTAGTTTTGGCTACTTTGACTCAGATTATCATATGGTATACTGTGCTGAGAATGGAAAACAGAATGGTGTTGCATTCATAGTTAAAAAGTCAATTTCAAGATCTATCCTGAAGTACAGTGTTGTGAGTGACAGAATATTAGCCATATACATTCAAGGAAGACTTTGGTAATATTACTCAAATATACACTTCTACAGATGGAGCCAAAGAGGAGGAAAGTGAAAATTTTTACCAAGTCTCGCAGTCCAATATTGACTATACATGCAGTCAAAATGTGTTAATGATGACTGATGATCAGAATACAAAAGTTGCAAACAATAAAGAAGGAACAGTTGTCAGAAATTATGCATTAGGTGACAGAAATTAGGTTGGAAATAGAATGATAGAATTTTTTAAATTATTTATTCACTGCAAATATCTTCTAAATTAAAAACAAATGGCAACTTTACACATGCACCTCACCAGATGGACTGCAGAGGAATCAGATTAGCTACACCTGTAGAAGGAATCATTGAAGAAGTTCAGTATCACCAGTCAAAACTAATCCAGAGGTTGACTCTAGGTCAGACTATCAATTACTCATGTGCAAGTTCAAATTGAGGCTGAAGAAAATGAAAACAAATCTACAAGAACTAAAATATGATCTACTCACCTGAGTTTCAAAATCATCTTGAGAACAGTTTTGAAGTCCTGAACACCCATATCTGAAGACCAGATAAGTTGTTTGAGGACATCAAGGATATCATCCATAAAGAGACAAAAAGATCATTACAAAGACAGGATAAAAGAAAACCAGAAATGGAATCAGAAGTGACTCTGAAAATCGTGCTAGTGTTGAAAAGCCAAAACAAAGGAAAAAACATGTCAAATTAAAAGGGCGCTGACCAGAAAATTTCAAAGGGCAGCTCAAGAAGACAAAGTATTATAATGTAATGTGTAGAGACTTTTAAGTGGAGAATAAAAAGGGAAGAGCTTGCTGTACATTTCTGAAGCATACAGAACTAAAAAAAAATTAAGCATTGAGTCACAATATTGAAAGATGGCATGGGCAATATGTTGAATGACCCAGGAACACACAGAGTCACTGTATCCAAGCGAACTAACACTGAAAAGTTTCAGGAAGTACCACATGAGCAGGAGCCAATGGTGATGATGGAGGAAGGTGAAGCTGTACTGAAGGCATTGGCAAAAAAATAAAGCCCCAGAAATCAATGGGATATCAATTGACTTGTTTCAATTAACAGATGCAGCCCTGGATGCGCTCACCATTCCATGCCAGGAAATTTGGAGGACAGCCTTCTGGCCAATGGATTGGAAGTGGTCCAAATCTATTCCCATTCCCAAGAAAGATTCTCCAACAGAATATCACATGCAAGCAAAACATTGTTGATGATCATTCAAAACAGCTAGAACAGCAGATAGGGAGCTAGAAACTGCTAGACAGGGAGCTGCCAGAAGTTCAACCAGGATTTAGAAGAGGCTGTGGCACAAGAAATACCACTGCTGATGTGAGATCGATCCTGACTAAATATAAAGAATACCAAAACAATGTGTATTTGTTCTTTATTGATTATTCAAAGTCATTTGGCTGTGTGGATCATTAACAAGTTATGGTTAAAATCGAAAATGAGAATCCCAGAACACTTAATTATGCTTATGTGAAACCCAAACCTAGATTAAGAGGTTACTGTGCAAACAAAGCAAAAGAACACTGTATGGTTTAAAATTAAGGATGAAGTGCCTCAAGGTTATATTCTTTCTCCATACCTAACCAGTCTGTATGCTTAGCAAATTATTCAAGAAGCTGAACTGAGGAATGGGACATCCAAGAACAGAGGAAAACTCATCAATAGCCTGTGTCATGCAGATGGCCCAACTTAGCTTGAAATAAGTACTTGAAGCACTTGTTGCATAAAAGAATACAGCCTTCAATATGGACTGCATCTCAACCTCAAAAAAACAAAAATTCTTGCCACTGAACCAACAGAGAGCATCATGATAGGAGAAAAGACTGAAACTTTCAACAACTTCATCTTTTTTGATCCACAATTAATAGTCTTGGTACCAGCAGTCAGGAAATCAGGAGATGTACTGCACTGGGACAAGTCTGCAGTCAGGGAATTCTCCAAATTATTGAAAAGCAATGGTGTCAGTTTGAGGACTAAGTGTGTCTGATTGAGGCCACAGTCTTTCTGAACACATGCTATGCATCTGAGAACTGGACACTGAATGATAGAAGAATGGATGCCTTTAAAAGCTGTAGTGTCACATCTCAAGTACAACCAGAGTGCTCCTTGGAGGCAAAGATGGTAAAACTTTGCCTCACATACCTCAGGCAAGTTACTAGGAGAGGTTATTCCTTGAACATCATGCTTGGAAAGGCAGAGGGTTGGTGAAGGAGAGGAAGACACTCAACCAGATGGACTGACAATGACTGCCAATACAGGTTCTAGTGTGTCAGGAAGTGTGAGGATGGCACAGAATAGGATAGGGTTCAGATACGTTGTTCGTCAAGTCACTATGGGTTGTACTTGACACAACAACACCTAAAAACAACAATTTGTCACTGAAGTCTATATGTAGAAACAAATGAAATGTTGTATATACTGTGTCTACTATTATAATGAGAAATAATAATGATCTTATTTTAAATAATAAATGGCTCAAATAAAAAATTTTCAAAGTTAGGCAAGAAACCATTAGGGGAAAAACATCTATCTTTAAAAAGACTAAGAAACCCTGCTTAATGTCATAAACTTCACTGCCATGCCAACTAGCAGCAAATTTATTTGAGACGTTGGACTATATGCAGGATAGGGTTCAGATCTGTCATGTCATACTCCACTTGATGAAATATAACAACAATTCTTTTCCTTTAAAACACTGACAAGAAGAATCTTTCAAATAAGAGATTTTACACAGAATCTCTTAATTTATCTAGTTGTTACTGTGTACTATCAGAACAGACCTGTAGCTGACCCTCTCTCTGGTAGGTTTTCAGAGGCAGTTAACTGCATGGATGAGACTGCCCATACTACACTTATTGATCATTTAATACATTAGGGGGGAGTCTCAAATTTTAAAAAATATAAAATCTGATAATAATAAATTATTATCAAAAATAAATTATTTCTACACACACACAAAAAAAAAAAGCTAACAGGAAAGACAGAATAATTAAATCCAAAAGCATGGCTCACCTTCTTTGGGTCAAGATTCCCAAAAACTGAGTTGGCATGGGGACAAACTTCAGACAATGAGCAACCAATCTTCACAATATCCTTATTTCTACTGATACTCTATAATGAAGAACAGTATAAAAGTCAATGAAATATTAATTGATTGTGTTATACAAGTCAAGTTTTACTAAGTTAGTTTTACTAACTTTTATAATTCAAATGAGTTCTTTATAAGAAAGGGAACTAGGCTACCGAAAAAGAGTATTTCTTAGTATGTTCACAAAATTCAAACTAGGATACCAAGTAATATTAAATCACAGGGAGCAATAACCTTAAACAGTAGTTATCCCTAGACTGACTTTAGCTCAATTTCCAATTATTCAAAACAGATGGCTTATCTTGGTCAATGGTCATGGATCTCCTCATATTTGTTGAGAGGATTTCTAAAGGAAACTGGCAAAAAAAGGTTTTAAACTAGTACATTCCTCCACATACAAATACTGTTACATAGCAAATTTGTTTTTTCACAGAATTGGCACCTGAACGCTAGCATGCTCAATGTGATCAAGGGTCTCCTAATATTTATGTGTTGAGAAGATTTCTAAAGGAAACTAGCATAAAAATGGTTTTAAAATAACCACCCAAGTGCCCAACAACAAACAAATGGATAGAGAAGCTGTGGTACATTCACACAATGGAATACCATGCTGCATTGAAAAACAAGGAACTCATAATTATTATACAAAATGGGTGACCCTGGAGGACATTATGCTAAGTGAAATACCTCAGTCACAAAAAGACAAATACAGCATAATGCCACTGTATAAAACCGACATGGGGGCGGGGGAGAAATTAAGAAAAGGGGATAAATAATCTACATGGCATTGATGAAACAGACAAGAGAGAAAACTGTATAAAAGGAATATATGATTAGGTACTACTGGCATGACCAGAGTCCAGAATAAGAGCTTCATAGTAGCACGGTCTGGTGGACAGAGGGGAGACTCCATAACAATGAAAGAACTTTTTTACTAAAGAAAAAAGCGATGGGGGATCAGGGAGGAAAATGTCAATAATGAACAATTGGAAATCTAAGTTCTTTTTTACATTCATTAAAATCTAATTCAAGCAAGCAACAAATGCTGGCGAGGTTGTAGAGAAACTGGAACCCTTATTCACTGATGGTGGGAGTGTAAAATGGTGCAACCACTGTGAAAGGCGGTATAGCGCTTTCTCAAAAAGTTGCAAATAGAAATACCATTTGACCCAGCAACTCCACTACTGGAAATATAGCCCAAAGAGACCATAACTGACATCCAAACAGATATATGCACACCCATGTTTATTGCAGCTTTGTTCACAATAGCAAGGAGTTGGTAACAACCTAAGTGCCCATCAACAAACGAATGGATAGAGAAGCTGTGGTATAGTCACACAATGTAATACTATGCTCCACTGAAAAACAAGGAACTCATGCAATATTATTCAAAATGGGTGACTCTGGAGGACATTATACTCAGTAAAGTATCACAGTCACAAATGGACAAATACTGTTGTAAAACAGGACTG